GTATTCCCTACCCTGTCCTTAAATAAATACTAGAAAAAAAATTGTAGATCCTTCTAGTTCAGGGGTGCACAACCTGTAGCCCTCCAGATGTTTTAGACTCCCAGGTCCCACAAGGCCACCCTCCCAGTGAAATTAATAGTTTGTAAACATCTAGAAGGCCACAAATTAAATGCTGTAAGCCGCCCAGAGACCTTTGGGTAGTGTGGGCGGCATATAAATTAATTAAATGAATAAATAAATAATAAATAAAATAAATTGCTTTGACTAGTTTCGGTATGGACTGACACTTTTATATATATATAAAACTGATAGAATGTAAACTTTTTTGTATTGCCAGAGCTATGATGAAGCATCATGTTAGGTAGAAATTATGAAGGTCAAATTACTAAAGTGTGCCCAAAAACAAAATGAAGCAAAAGAAAATGAAACAAAAGCACCCTGACAAAAAAACAGTCATACATACATCTGGCCAAGAAAAGCTAATGAAAATCTTTGCCTTGAGTTCAGGCTGTTGGCTAAGGCAGTGGTCCCCAACCTTGGGGCTGTTCTTGGACTTCAACTCCCAGAGGTTATTGGACTCCAGATGTTCTTGGACTTCAACTCCCAGAAATCCTGGCCAGGAGAGGTGGTGGTGAAGGCTTCTGGGAGTTGTAGTCCAAGAACATCTAGAGGCCCAAGGTTGGGGACCACTGCGCTAAGAGATACACTGGGAACCAGCTGATGGATTTTTTAAATAGCTGTTTAATATATTCTCATTGTTTTATTTTTATTGTAACTGAAGTTAGATATTAAAAGCCACATAAAAGCAATCCAAAAACATTACAAATAAAGTCACAATGGAATCCTTATAATACAATATAAAATAGGATTTATTGAATAAAATTTGGTAAAGTACATAATTCCAGTACAACACAATCCCATACAACCATAATTCTCCCACTGGGTATATGCTAGTAATATGAAGTGTTTTCTTGCAAATGTACAAATTTAGGCACAAATAAATACACATGGACCGAGTCAGAACACACACACACGCAGACACACACGCCCCTTTGCCTGACTACAAAATCTCTTTGTTTGAAAATGACATCATGGATAATTGCACACAGTTCCTTCTATTTCTTCACTTTGTTAAAATTAACACAACTCCCTATTTGTTGGCTTAATTTGGTGCCACATATAAAAGGGACAGAAACCAGGATCCCCATCAGAGCACTTTAAAACAATACCAGTGCATCTATGCCATCCTCCAGTTAATCATTGGCAAAACTGAAAACACTGAATGACCTCATGAGATTTCAGAGGAATCTCTAAGCCTGGCTCTGCACCTGCAACAGCAGTTTTTCCAAAGGGCTTCTAGGGGGAAGCAAATAAATGCACTGTTTCATGTGTAGATTGCTGTGCATGTTTTCTATTGTGTGTATACGTAAAACTGAACACTACCAAGGTTAGGCTCTCATTGCGAGCCACTAGTAGGGAACCTGGCAAGTGATTCTCCTCCCACAGAATTTTCTGGAAAAACCCAATATACATTCAGATATTCCACATATCCACTTTTAAAAGCATGACCACTTCTCTTTGCAAATAAATTAAATCCAAATGTGCATTCAATTTAGGATAGAAATGCCCTTTTACCCATTTGCAAAACCAGAAAAGACACAACACACTTGACCCTCGAGGAGAGCCTGTATTTGTAAGATCAAACTACTATCTCCACTTGACAACAGACTTTTTTTAAAAAAATGGTTAAATACTATTTCCCCACAAAAATGGTTAATGGTTTCAGCCTTATCTGGATTTTGTGATGAAGTTTTACAACAAGCAACAAGAAATGTGTAACACAGTACATCTGGCGGAATTTAGTCCGTATACAAAAGCTGTCTATTTGTGTTTCATGCAAGGGATATAACCGTGAGGCCACGAATGCCACCTGCCATCATCCTACAGATATGCTGAATTATATTTCCCATCATCCTGAGTCAGCACAGTTCACTGTAGTTCAATACATCTGGAGGGTGCCAGTTTGGGAAAGACTACTTTAGCTGCAAAGCATCAGAAAAAGGAAGGGAAAAGGAGATTTCAGAATCCATATACTGTACAGTGGGGTCTCTACTTAAGAACTTAATCCGTATTGGAAGGTGGTTCTCAAGTGGAAAAGTTCTTATGTAGAATCTGCATTTCCCATAGGAATGCATTGAAAACCATTTAATCCGTATCTGCTCTTTTCCGTCCATAGAAACTAATGGGAAGCTGCTATTCCGCCTTCTGCCACTAGAGGGGGATGTTTTTTCTTTTTTTCTTAGGTCAGGGAACAGTGTTAAAAGCACTTCTGACGGAGCTCATTTTGAAGCAATGGACTGAAAACCAATTAATCCGTTCTGGCTGTTTTTTTGTTATGTAGAGGTCCGTTCGTACATTGAAGCATTAGTTCCCATAGGAACTAATGCAAAGCTGGTTAATACATACTCTACCACTAGGGGGAGAATTTTTTTTAACCTAAGATGGCCTAAGGTTAATAAAAGAGCAGGAAAGGTTTTTTTTTCCTGTTCTTATCTAGAATTTCTGTTCTCAAGTAGAAGCAAAAGTTAGCAAACGGAGCTGTTCTTAAGTAGAATTGTTCTTAAGTAGGGACGTTCTTAAGTAGAGACCCCACTGTATCCCCAAAGACCACCACAGAACAAGCAATGTTAACAAAACTACAATAGTTTGATTATTTGGCACTACCTTTCTGTCCCAGTGATACATATTATAATTAGCAATAATCCATATGTGTCCCCGCAAAATGAATAATGAATACATTACTCTAAAAAAAAACTTAAAGTAGTTCAAGTCAAAATAAAGTCATTTTAAAAGATGGAAATAACTAACAACAATAACAAGAATCTTCCATTTGTTTGTACACACAATGCCAGTGAACACACAACAGCCAGAATCCTGTTAGAGATACATGAATGTGCAAGTGAAATCAGTTTGCACCACCAAAATGCAATAGATTGATGAGGCACCAGTCACATTCCTTTTTACATCCCAGTCACATATGGTCATAAATGTAACTAACACTGTTACTTGGTGGCACTTTACACTTGTGACTTATGCAATGTCACTTACATATGTGTAACTCTCCAATAGGATTCTCGCCATTAGCCACTAAAATCATGGAAGTGGCAGGAGGTCAGCAACAATACTTCCTTGTCTTGTATACAAGAAAGTACTGTACTACAAAGTTTCCAACCAGTGGAAGTTCTACACAAAGAAGTTGGCAAATGACTTTCTTAGACTGCAGTTACTAGAATCCCATAGCCCTGAGCACCACAGTCCAAAGTTATCTTTTTCCCAGCCTCTGGTTCAATGGCGACAGAAAAGGCATGTTGACATTCTGAATGCAATCCCTGTGGTCTTCGGTTTCTTGACACTCAAAAGCCAAAGGAATGCGGGAGCTAAATGAAGGCAAAATATAGTCTATAACCATTTCTTGTTCTCCCCACTTCTGACCCTGATTTTGCTTCTTTGCATCCACGGCCCCTTCTCCCAAATATTGTGCCACATTGCAAAAGTCCTACTTTTTGCACAGTGACTGACCCACAACAACTCAAAGCACAACATTAGCAAGGAACTGAGAAATTCTGCAGAAGTCCAGCCCACTGCTTATGGGAAATGACTTATTCTAATGCATACCCCTCACAAAGAATCTTGGAAAAAGGGTCTAAGTACTGTATACCTGCTCATAAAAGAGAGACACTCATATGAAGTTACAACTTCTTAGCTCATTTCACTTTCTCTACTCTTATTCCTACGAACATTGTGCAGGTGTTCTATATAATATCAACTACAACTCTTGTGGCAACATAGATAGAATATGAATAGGCACAAAGAAAGACAGTGTCACAGCAGAGCTCTGCTCTGTAAAGGATCCAATATTCCAGTGTCCTAGACTCACTGGGAAAAACTCAAGTAATTTCAGGTAATGTTTCAGAATTAAGTAACGGAGACAGTAGACTGAAGGTACCTGGTGTGCTTATAATCTCCTGCCTCTATTGCCATGTAGGAAGAGGCGTTTTGGCCAGTGAAAGCTGGCTCACCTCAGTGGGCACATTTGTCATTTAAGGGCATGAGAAAGAGGACAGGAAATTAATCTGAACTGTCTCTTACAATGGTATCAACATAAAAAGTGGAGAGAAGAGGATTGACCATGATGATTATATATTTAAGAAGTCACTCTCTATCCTTTAACAAAAAACGTCAATTAAAGAACGCAGGTCACTCCTACTTCTGCCTGAGTAAATGCCTGTCAAAAATGACACTGGAACACAAAAGTGCCACCGCTGGAGAGACATCTGTGACTGCTCATGTAATCCCTTATTCCCAGCTCTGTGCTTGGGCAGTGGAAAGACTGAAATTGTATGCACTTCACGCTGTTGTAAAGAAATCCATACAGAAGGGCTGTTCTCAAAAAGAGAAACCTCAGATACTGCACCCATGATCTTATTATTTGCTCATTAATTGAAAAAAAAAATAACAGTGCAATCTTACATATATCTATCTAGCTCACTGGATTCAGGAAGAGCTCCTCCCAGGTAATGGGTATAGGAGGACAACCTACGCCAGTAGTGTGGCAGTCATGGATGAGCTAGATGGAGTCAATGCAAGCGATGCATGAAGTAGAAAAAGAAATGAACTGGAAAAAATAATGTTAAATACACGATAATTGGATGGTGTTACACAATTGATTTTTTTCTTACAGGCCACTTTGTCTGCAGAATAAACTTTAACAATGGGTCTTGTTAAGATGTCAAGGCTGCAATCTTACAGAAAGCTACCTGGAAGTAAGCTCCGCTGAAGTAAGTGCAAGTTACTTCTGAGCACACGTGGTTAGGGAAGTGCTGCAATTAGGGCTGAGAAAGCCGCACCTGCCAAGTCCACTTTTTAAGATAAGATACACAGGTCTTCCTCAGAGTACTGTACATGACATTTCGCTTTTTATCTCAGGCTGCTTGTGAGAACAATGTCACTTCATTACAGGGCCCTGTGCACAGCAAAGCTTCCCCCTAACCTACCGCATCTGTGCAGCAAACAAACCTTCCCCCAATCTTCCTCGGAGGGTCTTCTAACATTTTGGAGCAAACTTTGCAGGGGGCAGAAGGCTGTAGAAGGGGGGGGGTTCTCTTCCACCAGTGGGTCTACATTTTCACTGCTAGACTGAGAGGACAACGTTTAAATTGGGGCCTGCGTTATGGAGGTTACCTGTTAGCAGCAGAGTGAGGCAGCAACATGCAGTGGCAGGGTGGTTGGGTGTAATTTTAAAGTAAGAAACTTCCCTTCATATTATCACCCTTTGATTTTGGTTTCCTTGACAAGAGAGGATCGTTTATATTGGTTTGCCAGTCCCCTCTCTGATGATACAACAGTGAATGAAATTATCTTCCTCTAAAACATTTTCCTGTCCTGCATCCTGTGCTCTTCTCCAGCAAGCATGTTTCTCTTAGTGTTTTTTAAATATCTGTTGTGTCCTGGTTTCAGCCTGGGGAGATATTGCATACAGGAGCCTGAGCTTCTAAGCATGCCATTCTTTTCTGCATACAGCCAAACTGAAGCTGCCTGAACCTGCTTATGAGACTATGCATTGCTACCAATAAACGCACCAAATCAGAGAACGATTACAGCAGGGAAAAAAAAAAACAATAACAGGAAAGGGAACACCAATGTGCAACATCCACTAAAAGAAAAAAGCTAACTGTCTTTCATTTCCCCTTCCCCCTCTTCTCTGCTTTCTGCCATTCCCAAGTTACACACCACCTTCCATAATAAATATCAGACAATGCAATTTACACAGTAACTCAATTCTGCATTTAGAGCACCATGCACTCTTTAACATGGCCAGCAGAAGTGCTTCAGAGCTGCAACAAAGAAACTGTTATTCGTGGTGACTTCTGAACAGCACCGTGATTTGTAGACCCCCTCAAACAATCCCTGCTCCAGATGCAGAAGCGTGTAATGGCGCCAAGCCTCTTGCAGACCATTCTGTGTCTCAAGAAGGTTGACGGCCGCTCAGAAGACAACAGCAGCCCATTCCATCCTGGTTCGCTCCAATCTTCATTCTGTGAAGGCTCTTGTATCAACCCCAGGCGTGCACACAAAGAAGTGTAGATGGGCCACAGAGATCCAAGTCCTGTCCTATTCACTGCAGTGTTGTTCCTTTGTTAGAAAAAATATATATAAGTATGTTTGGGAGGGGGAAAGGATCAGCCGGTCACTGCAGTTGCTACGGAGGATATCAGGATCCCATCAGGCTGCTGAAAAGTGGCACGGCAATGAGGAAGTGAAAGCTGTGGAGAGGCGGAAGTGTCACGGGGAGGCACTGGTGACATTGGAAACCGTCGGGACGATGAGTTCTGCGAGAGACTCGTAAGTCCCCACCACAAATCCGCAAAAGCCTAGGAAACTGATCATGACATCTTTGGCAATGGTAAGTGGGTGCATGCCTTCCGAGGAGTAAGTGAGGATGTCCAAGAGGGGTGGGATGATCAGGGCCAGAGCGCTGCTGCTCACCGAACCCACCAGAGAGATGACGATGTCCAGCCGCGGGATCAGGATTGCTAGCAGACCTGAAACAAGAAAACCTTTAAAACAACAACAACAACAACAACAATAACAACAACAACAACAACCATCCCTACAGACCTGAAACAAGAAAACCTTTAAAACAGCAACAACAACAACACCCATCCCTGGAAGGACAGAAATTAGAGGAAAAGCACCAAGCTCATTAGCAAACAAGCAAATACTTGGGGGAAAAACTAATCGGAAAAAGTGCCCTGCCTTTTCATGCAACTTGAAACAAGACTTGACATGCTTGCGCCAGAGCTGTCGTGACGACAGGGATGCTTCTTGGATTACGAAACAGCCTCCAAAAGAAAGTCAGGCTACAAGAGTTTATTTTTGAGTGCTGGAGTCCTCCTGGACGAGGAACGGAGAAGGTGGTATACTTAGCCGAATTTGGCAAGGCTTCCCGCATCTGAAGAGTTCAACTTGAAACCAATTAAATTGTTACTGCTTCAAAAAAATAGTTCTTTAAAAAGAAGCAGGAGAAGCATCAGCAGCTGCTTGCTTTCTGAGTCACACAGTGCTTTGATCCCCCTCACTCCCCACTCCTGGGGCACAGTGAATATCTTTCCTCATAGTATCTTGGGCAGCCTCCCCCAGCATTTCCCCTTCTCGGTAGGCTAGAGTCTAGACTACATCTCTCACACAGGCTGGGGATGATGGGCATTGGAGTCCAACATTTCTAGAGGGCACCAGATTAGTGGAAAAGGATGTAGAGCAAGGTACAGCTTTCTCTCCTTTTCCAGGAGACTACAACGCATACACAGCCACGTACAGTCTGTGCTCTACACAGGAAGAGCCACATATTCTATTGATAATACAGACACACAGAAAGTGCAATAGAAACACTTGAGATGTAAAAAATTAAGGTATACAATTTTGATTGTTTTGTTCCTCTGCTGGTTACACGGTCACACCTTTTTGCTCCTTACAGTACGGGATTTCTGTCCTGTGACAATGTCATAGATGTTGCCCCGGGACTCCTTGAGGATGAAGCAGTTTATACATGCGTAAAATATATATATTTTTAAAAAAGACAGAAGCAAATAGCTACACACCAGCTAGGGACATAAATATCACCTGCTTCTACTGGGGTTTTTAGGGAAGGGAGATGGCTAGGTGGAAGCAGAGCAAAAGAGAAGAGACATTTCAGGAGGTATAAAATTGTTAGTGTTCAGTTAATGAAAACACAGAGCCCAATGAGACGAGACACTGGTAGAGCCTGGGAAACTTCACATCTATCAGCACCCACATCTCCCTACAGCAAGAGAAGGCAATGGTGGTCTCTAGATGTTTTGGCCTGCAATTCCCATCACACTCTATGCCAGTTGTAGTTGATGGGAGTTGTAAACCAAAGACACCTGGAAGATCAAGTTGCTCCTGCTTGGGGGGGGGAGCAGGATAGCTGTCCTACTGCATTCATAGAAGCTGAGCTCCCCTCAGGAATTTCCCCACCTTAAAGTAGATAGGTATGGGGCACAGTGGAAGCACCACACAGGGCAGAATATATTTAGGAGGATTCCGTTTCCTCCCCATCCCCCAGTTGTTGCTTGCTACAGATCAGGAGGAACGCCAATCTTTCCCATGCTACAAGGGAGAAAAGGCTCCTCCTTGCTCCGAAGGCCAACTTAGCACGTTACAGTGGTGCTTCAACACTGCTTACTTATTTGGAACAAATGCAGACATTCAAATAAACCAGTTGCAGCCAGCACTACTGGGTTTTGCAAATGCTTGCTCTCAAGGCTTTACAGGAATGGCAAAGTTGTCCTAAATTGGAATGGGAAGCAGGGAGGGAATGGAAGCAGGGAGAATCCTAAGGAACAAAGCATGAGATAAATGTGGTGTGGGAATCAGCGAAGGAAAACAACAAAAGCAGGATAGGGAATGTTCACAGAGCAACAAGGAGAAGCAGAGAGATGTCGTGTTTGGAGCACCGGCCAGTAACTTTGATGGATGATACAAAGACACTTGTCAGCATTTAGCATGTGTTCACATTATAGATTATCATTGTCTTCTCTGAGATTTATTCCTGCCATCTTAAAACACCAAAACAAAACAAAAACCAAGAAATGCATGCATAACAAAAACAAAAATAGCAAATTATTGCAGGACCCCTTAAGATTAACACATCCAATTTTGTATGAGCTTTTATGGATTACAACCCACGTCCTGAGACAAGAAATATAGCAGTCCTGAAATGCTCATTTTAAATTGGAATGTTTGATTCATTACTCCGTCTCTATCATGTATTTTAACTTGGCAGCACTGCATGAAGCAAAATCAAAGCAAAATTAAAACCAATCTTACAGCACAAGTGCTTACAACATAGGCGTCCCGTCCCCTCATTGGGAGAAAGGTGGCTCACAAATGATACTAAATAAATAAATATCTGGCATGCTGGAGGAATCATGGTTGGATTAGTGAGATGCCCTTGATCAGAACCAAGGTAAGAAAACACAAGCCCAGAATCAGGGCCATCATTTGTACCATTGCCACCTTTTATCCTATGCAGTATGCCTCACCCTGTTCTCAAATTTAATTTCGGGTCTCCTAATTACATTAAATTCTACTGGATTTCTAGAAACCCACAAAGACAGGTTCCCTGGCCAGTCACCTACTAAACATGCTGATCAGAACTTAAAACAGGTACTTTGTTGGACTGCAATAACAAAGGTATGTAGAGACATTGTCTAACATGCTGAGAGTATGGTTGGTGGCTATGCTGCATTAGGGATTCAGGGGACTGTAATTTAAAATTAATTTAAATTTTAATAATGTAAACATCCCCAAACTTTGAATTAAAAGGGGGTGGGGAAACGCTAAGGGGGTTCTTTAGAAAATGGACTTGTTTTTTCACAGCATCATTTTCATTCACAGCTAAAGTTCTCTTTTTTTCGTCGTACAGTCTTGCTGAGCAAAAAGAGGCCATGTACAGGTTGTTTAAAAACAAAAACAATCGTTTTTTATCTTGTAAATATCACGGCAGGAGATGGGAACAGGTATAAAAGACACCCCAAATGGCCTGTATACCAAAGAAAGCTACTCATGCTTCTGTGGTAAAGTTTAGTCACAGACATATTTAAAAATTTCTGCTCTAGGCAGAATTTCAGCAGCCTACAAAACAGGTCTCTGGGTGAGCATCCTCATCCAAAAAAAAAAAAAAAATCAAGGGAGGGATGTACCAGATATATTTGATGCTGAGAACTGTCACAGTTTGGACAAAAGGAAGAGAACTGGTACATCAGTTACAGAAAAGCTGCTGCATTCAGAAATCATAAGGGAAACTTAGATCGTCCAATAACATTAAGAAAAACTGGGTTCAGTGAAACTGGAAAACAACATTATGTTTTTAGAATTACCCTGGGTTCAAATGTCAGGGCGCGAAGACCCACAACTTTTTAACTAACAGCAAAAACTCAGAAGATGAACTGTGCGAATGCAAATGAGGCTTCCTGAAAGAGGAGACTAAGTTTGTTGTGCCAAGCTTGCTGTCTGTTAGCAAGGGGGCTGGGTAGGGAACTCTGCTAGAGCATAGCAAGGGTTTAACACAAAAACGCTTGAGTTCCTTCAGGACGGTCTTCCTCACCATCAGCACTATGTTTCGTAGCTCTATATGGATCTATCTGTAGTACCTGGGAATGTGTCTTGAAGCAAAACAATGGCATTTCCTTGCAGACAGATGCACGCCCCAGCAATCAGATCTCCAAATTTAGCTCATCTTTACCATTCCAATGACTGGTCCCAAAACGAAGCACAGTGAAGTGAAAGCATACAGAGCTCAGGAGAAGGGGGCCACGTGGAACATCTGAACTGTGCTAGGGAGTTAACTATGTGAGCATTGTAATTCGTTCACTGTGAGGGGGGGGGGACCCTGACACTGAGCTAACTCACCTGTCCTCTGTTTCCCCACAGCCTTCCTCTCCGACTGTCTTCTATCCCGGGCAGGCGACGTGATGCGTCATCATGTCGCCTGTGAGCTGCAGACTCCGCAGCCTGCGGCTCAAGAGTAACATCAAAACTCACGAGATCCCAGCATCAGATCTCACGGGTTTTGCTTACTGCCGTGCTGGGTGAACAGAGCCGGAGCTCCGGCTCACTCAGCGGTGACAGGCGGGCCGGACAGGAGCGGCTTTCGGGCCGTATGAGGCCTGTGGGCTGTACTTTGCCCATGTCTGTCGTAGACCAAGAAGAGATCAGTTCCACACAATGCATGCAAGCTCCACACCTTAAACTGAAGAGAGGGCACCAGCCCAGCCACTCCATTACAGGACACACTGTTCAACGTCAAGAACAGTGGCAAGCAACATGTGGCCTGCTGACTGCATGCTGCCCCAGCACCTCTACACAGACAGACACACACGTAAACGTGATCCCTTTTGGAGGTATGTTTTCAGAGGCCCAGCACCACTGACCCCGTACCATCTAATTTTTACATGAATTTTTAAAATTTTGCCACCAGAGGGCACAAGGATGCCTTTTCAGTTTAAAAAAACAAACCAACACATTTTTTTTCTAAGAAAAAAAATGGGGAAAGGGTCCAGCGATGGGCCTGGGCAACTCCTGGATGTCTGGAGAGTTACCTGCCCTGGCCAAGATGTTACACTGAGGAAGGGGTCCTGAAATGGTGGGCTGCGTCATACTGGGCCCAAAACCAACAAGCAACACCCATCTCTGTCTTAAGACTTTTTGTCTTTTCCATTCACCTCCTTCTTCCCCTCTCGTGTGTGTCAGAATCCAAAGAAATCCCATGTTCTGCAAGAGATGCCTGAATAAGGTGTGCAATGTCACGTTTTCAATGTTCGCCCTGTTTACTTCAGTAGACATCCTCAAATACTCTTGCCAGATACTCAAGCGCTGTATGGTAGTGATGGATGCAATGTGCCGCATGTGCTGGTACTGCGTTGTAGCACGCATGGCTTCCAGCGGAGCCAGCTTTTGTAGGAAAGGAAACTAGAGCACCGTGAGAAAACAAAGGCACAATGGCCATAAAACAGAAGAAACT